AGTCCCAGGCTGGACTCAGTGATGGACGGGAACTGGATTCCGGATCTGCTTTCAGGATCAGGATCAAAGGCAGACAAACAGAGTCCTCCTCAGATGTCAGCCATTGAAGGAAGCAAGGCTGACCCTTTGATCCCCAGCTTTTATACTGAGCATGAGGCAGATGGGATGGAATACCCTGTTGGTCAGTTTTGGGTCACCTGTCCTGTCTGCTCCTCCCCGCAGGTGGGACCCCACTATGCTTTTCTGCTTCTGACCCTCCAACGGAGCAAATAACAAAGTTGGTTGGCCTTGGGTGTTATAGCAATAAGTATAAGCAAGAGCCTCTCTGCGTACCATGCCTGGGCATCAGCTATAAACATAGGTCTTATCACCCTGAGAGAGTGAACACTGTCTGCACAATATGCTGTTAATTTCAGTAGTTAGAGAGGCCCAGCTAAGAAACAAAGTTACTGAACAAAATTGGTTCCATTTTACCTCAAACCGGGACACCTTAACAGGCCATTATAAAACAACTGGCATCTGCCTGCCTGCTGTCAGGGCTGCAAAGGCAGGCAGCTGCCGACATGCAAAATGAAGAAGTACTACACTTCTTCCATTATCAAGATGAGAGTTCTTTCTGTTATCGTGTTTTTTGACATCTCTGAAGTGATATGGCCTTGCGGAGAGGAGGCAGCCTCTTGGGTCTGTCTGGTCACTGTCACCACCAGACAGCTTTGTAAATAGAAACCCCTCTTGAACGAACAGAGGCTGGGAGTTAATGAAAGAGAGTTCATAGGTTGCCACAGTTAGACAGCAAGGGACATTTGAACAACACAGAACCAAGAATGTTCCCAGAGGAAACAGCTGTGAAATTGTTCGTTTGGCTACGCAGCTGCTCAGAGTTTGTGTTCACTTGATCACTCACAAAAAACTGGAGAACCTCCCAGATTGCCGAGAGGAAAAGGCAAGTGAAGGGGATGCTTCGCTATGAAGCACTTGCTCTTCTGTTTTGTGTTAAATGGAGGAGAAAATCTAACACAGCATATGAGGACAGCAGCTTTGTATGACTAAAGCTCGATATTTGATTTGCTGGGTGGTGCCATCTTTTGTATTTCTGAAAATAAAAGTCTGCTGAAGATTACAAGGAAACAAATCCATAAAGAAGCTGAATGTGGAGGCCGCTGTGCTGGCATTTGAGTAGTACTGGAGTAATATCAGGCATCTCCAAGCATGCATGGATTTTCTCTTTACGTTACTTTCTTTTCATATGAAACCAGTGAAGTACTGTCTGAGTCAGATAAGAAAGGTAACATTAGGGCTATAGTTTTCTATAAATGTGTGCCCTGATTTGAACCATGATTTTGAAGATAAAGAAGACCTTGTCTTTCAGATATCACAGGAAGCAGTTAAAAGATCAAGAATCTGAATGATGTCAGACTATTAATTAGGATGATAGTAATGTCTGTAGAGCTCTGACGCTGTGCTCCGGTCAGAACATGAAAGGCAGAGAGGCATTTCGTGAAGATGCTTATAGCCTAAGTCAATGGTTCAGGAAGCTACTTCCACATGTGCTGTTCCAGCTGAGAATGATACTCATGTAAATGCTTAATTTTAAGTGCGTATTTAAAGCAACGCTCATATTTGAAGTGACTTGGAAAATGTGCATGAGGAGACAGAACCTGGGCTTCAAAAACTGCTGTAGATACCAAAAATATATCAAATAAATCATATGTCCTATAGCTAAGAGATTCTCAGCTGCACATCTAGAATAGGGTTAATTTCTAGATTTAGATGTCTAAATTTAGGCATTCATATTGTAGCTGCATAACATCAGTACCATAGCTCCAGTGATGATCTAGTCAATACTAGGGTCTAGGGAGGTATTCAGCCCAGTCTAAACTAAACATGTACATTTGGTCTGCTGAACCATTTTCTACATCCATTGACTACAATGGGAGCATTGACACCTAGATCATGTAGGTGCCTACACAGCAGGTGATTGCTAAAACTGCGTATCAGATTCTGGAATTGAATCCCAATCCTGAAATTTAATGAGGTGAAGTTGTCCAGTGATAGAGTACAAAACTATTCTCGGATAATCGGGAGATGAGGATGTGCTAACCTGGAGCCAGGCACTTACTTTATGGAGCAAAGAAACACTTTCCATTCAATAGACGCATTTCTGTTGTTTTACTGGAGTCACCAGTCAAGCAGGATAGGGCTGCTCTAATCATTCTCATTTGTATTATTGACAGTGTTCATAGTCTGTCATTGTTTAGCATGAGGAGAAGTTCATCCCCCTACTTTATCTATGCTATCACTAAAGAAGGTTGGTATCCATATCAATGTAGTTCATCCTGTGGACCTTAGAAAGAGATCAGGGCAGTGAATGACACCAGGACCAGATCAACATTTTCTCCTGCACCTGTGTGTGGCATGGTTTGGTCACTGTCGCCCAACACAGTTCTCTCTCTATGATACTGGTACCTGGAAAAACTGCCGTGGGGGACCCATATTCTGGACCATTTGAAAGCTGTCTTTTAATAAACAGAGGGAATAACTGAATGTCTGAGTTATCCGAGAACTTTGGCTGATCCTGTAACTCTAATGTGTTTAGTCATGCAGTATTTCCCTGTGGTCTGTCTCTTGGAGCAATGTTCTGATCCTTGTCTTCTTCCCCGTGCTGCTCTAACTGAGGTGCAGCAAGGAAGTACAACACTGCACTTTTCCTTGTTCAATGAATATTCATTTTCTGGGAATAACAGCACTATGGTGGGAAATGTTTAGTTTTCTACAATACTTCATCACATTGGTATTTCTTAGTAACCTTCTTTTTCTCCCTGAATCTATCATCTCATGTTTTTTTTTATTTTCTTACAGGAGGAGCTCGGCATTGCCTGTGAGTTGCTGGAGTCAGACTTCCTCAAGTGCAGCGTGGGATTTCCCTTCATGAGATCGAAATCTAGGGTAATGTTGTGATATCTGCATTTGCAGAGTGATGGTCTATTCACCTCTTTGTCTCCAAGGAGTGGCTGGAAGGGCAACCGCTCTGTTAAATGTCTGTGACTGGTACTTTCTGTAGCTTTCCAGCCCAGATATCCAAGCCTTTCATGGTTACGGAGGGTAGCTGTCCTCATTCCCACCAGATGGAGTCAATGGCAGTACTCTGTGCACTGCAATACAGTGCTCTTGAATAGCACAGATGCAAGAATTGCATCTATGAAAAACTTACCTATTTCTCCTGCAGAAAATTAGAAGAGGACTCTCTTATTTATGGTGCCTTATTCTGTTTTTATTTTTGTCTTCCCTAACATTAAAGTGCAACTGAATTTGTACGAATTACAATGAAAATGTCTTAATGACTTTTTCACATTATGATCTCCTGGTAGCTTTTAAAGAGGATTTTGTTCAGTAGTAGAAGATGAACTCTCTCATAATATTTAGAAATCCAGCAGGGCTCTTTCTGTCACTAAACTGAGCTGTACAAATGACCAACCAGGAAAGGTGAGAAGATAAGGAATAACTTCAGGATGGCCTGAATAAAATGAGTCTGATTTTTTTCAGAAAATTTCAGTTTCAAAAACTGATCCTTTCCATTTGAATTGATGTATCCTTTGACCTGACATGAAATGTTTTGTTTTATGTGTTTTATTGGCTGTAACATGCTCTTTTGAAAGATTTAAAAAGATTTTAAATAGGATGGAAAAATAAATGCAGTAGGAAAATATTATCTGGAATGTAAGAATTTCAGTGTTTTGCTTCAGAATGATATAGTTGGGTTATCTTCAGGGTTGGGTTTTTTTTTCAGCAAGTCATTGAAATTAGTATGAGTTTCAAAATATTTCACTTGGCCAAAAACTGTTTTGGGGTTAGGTAGAAACATTGTCACATGGAAAAGTTAGTGTCCTGCTGCAGTGGCCGTCAAAGTAGATTCTCTTTTCAAAATTAGCACCTGATTTTATCTATTATGATGAGTGGCTTGAATGCTGCTTTAGCTTGTGCCGGTTGCTCCAAGTCTCTGCAGGCCTGTGGCATGATCTTTATAGCCCCGGAAGATCTCTTCGCCAGCAAGTAACATATAAATTGGTGCTGAGGTAGTTTCAGGTAGCAAGCCCCTTGTACGGGAAGTCTTTTCCCTTGGCAGATGATCTCCTCAAGAAACATCTTTGAATGGCATTTATAGTAAAGGCCTTTTTACAATGAAAGAAAAATTGGACTCTCTAGTATTTGAACAGAGACACAATTGCTAAAATTTAAAAGCTACTCTACAGTAGAGGAGGCGCTCTTACATGTATCAAAATACACTACTTTTGTACAGCTAGGCCAGTAAAATGTATGTGAAGTTTCAGAATAAATACATTTTGAAACAATATACAATGTCTCTAAATACAGCTTTTTCTTTGCACAGTACGAGTTCAGCGTGATCTTTGACACAAGCCATTTGTCTGGGCAGGAAGAAACGCTTACCTTCCTTGTCACTGCCCAAAGGTAAGGGACCTTCGTACATTTTGATGACTTGGATATTCTTTGTCGCGTGAAGTGTGCATTGCATCTGCTTGACCGTTGTGTGATATTAGTTGTAGACATGTGTAGTGTAGTAAATGAGGTTAAATTACTGGGGCTAAATGCATGTATTTTGATAATATAGAGGAACCATGTGATGCAGCTTCCTGAAAATGAGGTAGGATCATATTTGGGCTTTCTTTGCCAGGCAGTTGCAATTCTGAAGGAGCATTTTGTGTTCTCTCAGTTGGAAGGCCATTGTGTTTCTGTGCCCATCCCTTTGGGCCCTGTATCAAGCTCAGCTCAGCTGTGGTTGAATATCAGCACCAGGCAGACCCATTTGTTCCAGCATTTGAATGAAATAAGCATGCTTGGATGCAAACCAAAAAAGAGAAATGCTTTCATCAGATGGTGAGGGATCTCACTGACAGTTTCCAAAGTTGCACATCTATTTTTTCCCCCTCCTCGATCTTCAGTGAGCCATGACAGACTGAGTGAAACAGCTGAAAAGGGCACTTCCCCAAGGGCACTTGGAGCAGGCATTGAAGCAGGGTGATGCCAAGTATGCATGCATAGGGATTTTATCTTGGGCAAAATAAAAGGTGACACATGCTCTGTGCCTCCTAAGATGATGTTCCACAAAGAAGCAGACTCCGTGGGTGATTCAGTCACAGGCACTGTCGGGGAGTCTATGGGAACTGACAGTAGTACAGTTGCATTAACCTGGGCCATGAACTGCTGCTCTGACATTCTGAGTGTGTGACTGGTTCCTGCTTCCACTTACTGCATGAGCGGACCAACTTCATAGCCTCCTGTGTCAAAATCAGGATCTCCAGCCTGAATTCTCCTCCCCAGTTTGATGACATCTCACCAACCAGCTGGAGATGAGAGATGAGATGTAGCAGTTGCTGAGTGACTGCTCTCATAAGGCGTAGTCCTCGCCTGCAGTAACAGCTGTAGGTGGGAACAAGATCCTGCAGCACGTGGGCCTGGTATGAAACACTGAAAGTGAGACCTCGCATCAGAGGGGCAAGACCATGTCTTGCACATTAGAGAAGTTTTATTCTCCGTGAGAAGTTCCTCGTATGTTCAGATGACCCCGTGATGCTTCTAGGTCAGGGAGATGCTTCAGTATTTGCTAGGTGAATGCCAGCTGGTGCAAAGATAGGTCAGCACTGCTTTAAATTTGCCCAGCCAGTGTTTTCCAGATTGTACTGCTCATTTCCCTGCCTTGGATAGCACAGGGCTTTCCTCTGTAACCTCACTCCTCAGATTCCTGTGCCCTAACAGTGAGCAGGGTTAATCAGTGCCATTAGATGGACCAAAGAAATAAATAGTGTCTTGTACACATAGTGTGAATGCTCAGAGGGGTTAATAGAAAGTTTCTTGTTTCAGAAGGATGGATGGGAGGACGCTTGTGTTTTGAAGGATTCAGCTGAACTTTCAAAGACAAGAGTGCAGGTCCCAGTGCTGATTACCCTCATTTTCTCTGTAACTTTGGGAAAATGGCTCAATTCTCTTGCTGTCAAATAAGTGTAATAAAATCTTTCTACCACAAGAGTTGCAGGGAGCCCTGGGATAAAGTCAGTGATAAGGAAATGGAGAGGAAGTGTCTGTGCTGTGGCCAGACTGCAATGAGTGGGGACATTGTTTCCACACAAAACTGGAGCTAGTCTGGCAGAAATGGCTGGACACAGAGAAGCTATGCCATGCTGTCACGGGAAAGTAAGTATTGCCCTTCAAGTGGCCACTTAAGCCTGTACCTTGAAGCTGCAAATTTGGCAGTAGCATCTGTAATAAGACACTGGTTCAGTAGTGGGAGGGATCAATTGGGGAAAGGACTAAACATTATATTACATTTAATTTTTTTGTTTAAAAAACCCCAAACGCTATATTGTGTTTCCTGGTGCGTACTGTTTTTCTAGAGCTATATTCACTGAGCTATATTCTCCTTTTCTAACAGTACCTTTGCTCTAGTTGAAACAGATAAGCACATACCCATGAACCCTGTATGGAATTCTACTTGCTTATTCTGCTTGCCACCATGGTATCTCATTATTTGTGTTGGATGAGAAATGTCTCTGTTTTGGACTCTTCTTTGAGCCTATTCAGAGGAAAAGCTTTTATTAGATTTTTTCTTTTTCTTTTTTTTCCTGGGACTGAATGTTTGTGGGTTTTTCCATCTGGGCCACAGTTTTATTAGCAGACATGGCCAATGTGTCAGTTGTAGAAAGCTGAGCTGTATCTATGCATGTATGTAGCTAGCAAGCTCTGTTTTTTTGTAATCTGAGCAACTCATTATCTGCATGGTATCGGTTGGGATGTTACTGCCTGCTCTTGTTTCTTTGATACTGTCCTCAAATTAATAGGATCATGTCTTTTGTTTTGCTAGTTTGATTTGTGAGTAAATCCAACAAACTGCAAGGCAAAAGTGATTCCAGAGTCACTGCTGAAGAAATTGGAAATATATGTAACACATCTTTCAAGATTGTTCTTCTGAGTTGTCACTCGCCAAGCAGACTCGCCATCAGAATTAGAATAATTACAAGTTTGCGTGTTGGCCATGCATTTCAGGAACCTTTCCCAGACTTCACACATAACTGTTCACATGGAAATAAACTGACTCAAATGAGAGATGATTGCTTATTTTTCTCTTTCATCCTTCTGCTTTTGACCAGTTGAGGCAACTGCCTTTGAGAAATGTAAAGTAGAAGTGCTTTCATTTTGGCAACAAAATACAGGCAGAGGGGGTCGAACTGATGAGAGGTTACGGCCAGTTCCGTACAAGTGTCTCACCTGAATTGGTGCTGTGGTACAGTGCAGGTACAATGAAAACACAATTTAATTTGCTGGGTCACGACTCTCTGTGGGGTGTGTATATCCCTCCCAAACTGACGTACAGCCAGGCTGGGAGAAAATGGACCCTTGCATTGGAGTTTAAATGTCCTTGTTTCTCTTTGGTATGTATGACGGCTGCTGTAGTTCAGCACTGCTGTTTGAATTCTTGCTCCAAGATAGGTTTTTCGTTGTGAGCCTGATCATGTTGCAGCCACAGAGCAGCAGCCACAAAACACGTGCTTTATGTGTGTGCCCTCTCTAAGGTGGAATGAACAAATGTAACTTAATCTTTAAGAGGCTTCTTAAGGAGAGCTGATATCACTCAAATGGAGAGGCTCGGAGTACAAGGCAGAGACATGGTAGCTGTGAAACCGTGGGATATATTGCAAAGGCTGTCAATTTACAGCATGTTTATTTTTCCTTTCTGGCACAGTGGAAACCTAGAGCGCACTGAATCTCTGCATGATAATACTCTAACCCTGTCGGTGCCCCTGATGCATGAAGTGGACTCATCTATCAGTGGGTAAGTACCAGTCACCAAATGAAAACAACAAAAATAATAATAATCCTAACAATGTCTGAGTCTGTTCCACTGAAAAACTGAATTCTTCTCTTTGTTTACATGTAGCCAGACTGTTGCTTTTTCCCTGTTTCCCAGACTCTGGAAATACAGACAATCGCACTCATTATCTGGGAATTTTATTTGTTGTGTCTTTCATTCCACCACTGTACCTCTTTCTCACTTCTTTCTAGCTAGCACTAATTAGTTACCATCACATTTATAGTAGGTATTTTAGTGATTGTCTTTGAATTCACGTGATGCTGTAGATATGATGGACCTTAAAATAAAAGAGAACAAGTAAATCACAACTTGTTCTGTAGGGCATGTCTTTAAGGATATGGTTGAGAATCAGCAGGCCAAAGGTTAGGGTCAAATGTTCTGGGATTTTAAGGAGCTTGGTGGAGTCTAGCTGTTTGCCTTTCTGTTTAATTTCACAATCAGAATTCGCTTCTGCTTCTGTTCATTTTCCCACTCCCTCTCCTCCCTAGTCTGCAAGGCATCTGAATACCAACCAAGGAACATCATTCACCCTTTGACTGAAATAACACATAGCTGTTGTCCTCTCCCCAGGGCTGCACATGTGTGAGTTCCTGCCTTTGTACTCAGAGTTCTTTCCTTCCACTTCTGCATTACAATCTTAAGTCTAGAATGAAAGATTTGGTGTTGGTCCCAACAAACAGACTGTCCTCTAGTGTAAACAGTGCTTGAGTTTAAACTGGGGGACCTGATCACTGGAAGTGAATTAGCCTCCATATAGACTGAGAAAGTTGACATTCATTTCTAAGCTGGGGAAGCAAAAATCATCAGCAGTGTCCCCAAGAGGTCAGTGTCTGTTTTAGCCACCATTTATGTCAATCTCCAGGGAATACATATTGTCTGAATGACCAGTGCAGGCTGGCATCAGTAGGAAAAGGTTCCCTTGACCAGTGTGCTGAATGTGTAGTAGCAAAGTTACCTGCACTGACATGTGGTTTGGCTGAAAAGCTGGGTAAACTCAGATTCATGGCGTAGTCTGGAAGTTTATGACATAAAGCTGATTTCCTTTCTTGTTGCGTAGAAATAAGATCCCTTAATTACTGCCACAATAGTCAGAATGGGTAGAAGATATGCCTGAGCCTGCTCAGAGAACTGAAGAGCGCTGTCAGACCTCACAAGATGACTAGCAGGGACAAAAATCTCCTTTTTATTGAGAGTACAGTCTCAGCAGTGTGCTCTGGAAGTTTTTGAAGGCTTTCATTGTTAGATTGTGTGGAAATTTAACTCTGAATCTCTTGCTTCTTGATGCTTTGATGCAAGTTGATTTTTGTACAGCTTTACAGATAAGAATGCTTTCATCTGTTTCTTTAGGTCTCTGTTTGTCACCTACAGAATACTACATACCAAAAAAAAAGATAAGAATTGGGCTCTTTTCTTTCTCTTCAGAATTCACTTTTTGGAAGCACAAGGTCTCTGAATTTATAAGCCCCACCCAACTGCCTATGTGGAATTTTTTTTTCTTTCTCATAGACAAGGCTTACTTAATACAAGTTCACATAAATGTCCAACTACCAGGGCAAAGTTGGGTTTATTGGAGGGCACAACATTCCCAGGCATGGTAATATTAGTAATACTTTCTCGTGGACAGTGGTTTTTTTAAAGCTTATTTTTATTAGCTATCATTCATTTGAATCTATGAGAGCAAACTTCATCCTTGGTCATAAATAGCCCGGAAGGGCTTGTACCATGTTTGGGAGGCGCCTTCTGGCCCTACGCCGTAAGTGGGAGGAGTAAATCTGTCTCTTGCTGTTTTCCCTAGCAATCCCTGGTGTAGGAGTCAGGCAGGAAAAAGGGAAATATACCTAAACAGGCTTAAAATCCTGTCTCAAAAAACTCTGACCCAATACGAGAGCCTGAGAAGGAAGCAGAGTTTTAGGCAGTCCCTCACCAAGGTTTGCCTGAAATTACACCAGGACCCTTTCCAGCCAGGGGAGCAGCCTGAGATTAGAAGGAGGCACAAAGGATGCTTAATGCATTCCTAGTCCTGCAGGATTTCCAGGTACTGTGTTGTGCTTCCAAGTCTTTTCTGATAAAACCCTACTGCATTTTAGTTTGATAAGATGATAAGAGTAGTTGAGGAGACTTGGCCTGTGCCACTGTAGTTGAAAGCAAGTTATATCCCCCTCTACTCTTCCCTTTAATCATCTGCTAATCATAAAGGTAGTGAAACTTAAAAAATTAATGAAGTATTTATTCCTGCAATGCTCTGTAAATGACAGATAAAACTGAAGTGTTACTTTAGTGAATATAAAACTGAAAGTATCCCTATTAGTAACTGTATCTTCAGGTTAACTTAGTAGTGCAATGATTTCCTGTGTTACGCAAGCCATAGGACTTACACAAATCATCCATGGTAGGGGCACTGGAGAAGAAGTTTTGTGATAGGAAGGAGAAAAAGAGAGAAGATAAGTAATCAAAAGATTACTTCAATGCTTCAAAGAATGCTTCAATAATGGGATGTTTCAATGTTTCAATGCTTCAAAGAATGCTTCAATGATGGGATGTTAACCCGTGTCAGTTGAGATGCTGTTGTCAAGAGGAAATCAAATTGATGTAAAATGGTCCCATAGAATTTCACATGGCCAGAAAGCAAGAGGTGCAATTCAGCTTGCCACAAATGTATTTAATTTTGGTGACAAACATAGCTTACTAAATCTGTGTCTTGATCTTTCAGAGAAGTCTTCCCTACTTCATTCTTCTACGGTGATTCTGTGGAACCATCCAACTTCATTCAGTTGGAAAACAATGAATGCCTTTTCCAGTCTCTCAACTTTACACTGCAGGTAAAATCCTTAGGTGATCCTTATTTTGACGACTTTCCTGTTTGACAGCATGGTCTGGCTTTGTATATCTTTTATTCTGAGTGCGGTATGGGCTTTGGTGCATGTCTGAATCACTGTATGCTGTGCAATGCATTCTTGATTGGATCCCATATTTACAGCATGTAGAGATAGTGTATTTCCTTATCTGAATATATAATAACAGGAATTGCGAATAGGGCTTCTTGCTTCCATAGGAATGAAGCTACTACCATTTGTTTCTATGTTACCTTTCATTATGTGCTGAGTAAAGAGCTCTCCTTACTCAAGTGCCATATCTTGGATGCAGTCACAGGTTCAAAAGGGAGGAGTAATTCTTTTTAGTGGCATAGTCATTGAGTAGAGAAGTGGGTAGGCTTTATCTGTGAGAACAAACACATACCTGTGCAAGGGATTCAGACTTGCTAAATGCCCCTGGTATGAAAATATTTATAGCAGTACTGATAAAGGTACAGCACAGGGAAGAGACTGTGGCACTAACAAGAGAGATGTGGGAAGGTTTCATTAAATGTCTCATAGTATCTCAGTGTTACTCAAGTATTGTCTATAGATTACACTTCACATGGCAGTTAGATGGTTTCCTGATGTGGCAAAACATAGGGATGATTTATTTTAACAAACTCTTGTGATGCAGCCAAAATGAACTTGTCTCGCTGCCGTGACTGTATCTATTACAAGCACTTCAAATCCTTTTTGACCGCTAGATGGAACTAGGGAATGATAAATCATGCAGAGGTGGGGGAATCATTTATTGTGAAAAACAGACTTTTGCCTATTTTCCCCTTTCTGTTCTCTTAGGCATGAATGCCACTCAGCTCATAATGAATAACACATGTTTGCCTCCGTGGACAGACTGAGGTCCAGAGCAATTAAGCACCCACTGTCATGCAGTGCCCTTAGCTATTTACTGAAAAGGAGTGGAAGCAGGATTTCAGGACATTAAAGCTTTCATGAACCAGGCTATTAATTCTTGTGATTCTGATTTCATTCTTGAGGGCTTATGGGTCTTCCCCCCCTCCTCCTCTTTCCCCCCCCATAGCCAGTAACTGGTTAAAAACAGGTAAAGAACAGATGTACTGATGCTTTAACTAGATTAATATTTTCAATAAAGCAAAGTGATAACAGGTTAAGAGAGAGAGAATCTATACATTGGCAGAGACACCATTTGTCCTGCCCCATCCTCTTGTCTCTCATGGACACACTTCCAAGTTGTGATATTAATAATATTTTTTTACATACAGAAGTAGAAAATTATACTGTAACAAGTCACAGATCTGCTCTCCCAGTAATGTGGTAAACCTCATAACTGCGTGTGTCAGAGAGAAAGGGTAGAGTTTCATAATGGGCAAAGCATGGTTTGTATCACTGTTTGCTTAATTGTTTTTAATTATTTGCCTGCCATTTATTAAACTTCTCCAGATGGAGAAAGTAATAGTTTCTTAACCAAGAAAAAGAGACGATTTACAAAAATACGGGGCTTTATAGCGGTTTTTATGTGAAAATCTATACCATGTCCAATGTTAATAAGGAAACAGATCTAGGCATCATTTTTTGGGGCGGGGAGTAACAATATGTGCAATGAAAATGTCTTTTCTGCATTAACTCGTATCTGATCTCAGTGAGATAATCAAGTTTTTTTTAAATGTCTAACTTGAAACATTATGTTTGTGTTTCACAAAGCATTTATCATGCTCCATTGTAGTGGGATTTCTCCCCCTGACTGGAGCCTCAGGGTTTTTGTGAGGATTTGGCATTGTGAGCCGATTTTCTTTATCAGTCAGGCATTTCTTCAGTATAAACAGTGTTTGAAGAATGAAAACCTGTTGGGTTTAACATTTGTATTTTACACAATTAACAACTGATTGCTACATCCTTTGACAGTACTGTCTCAGTGTAGATAAATATTCTAATGGGCTTAATGTTTTTACTATATGCACTAATATATGTGTTGTTAGAAACAACCAGGAAATATTTTTCCTAATTAAAAAAATGTAGATAGACATGAAAACTTATTTTCATTAAAATTTTTCCATGGATTGTTTCTTTTCAGCAAAAACCCACAAATTTTGGAATTTTCACTGGATACATTTCAGTGGTGGACTGGAAATTCTTTGAGTTTTTATTGAAAATCTGGGGGGGGGGTTGATAGAAAGCCAATGTTTTCCACTAAGAGTTTCATTTAACTAGAAACCCCAGAACTTGAATGGAAGTTGTTCACATGCATTTCCTGGCAACTCACTCAGCAAACCCGCAGTCCGGTAGTCACAATCATTACTTTGGCTTCTGCTCTGTAAGGAAAACATATGCAGAATATAATGCAGTGGTTACCAGATGGAAAAGGGAATGTTAACTGAGACAGTTACCAAAACACTCAAAGAGTACTAGCAGTGCCTGTGTGTATAAGGCAGAAGTCTCATGCTATTTGTACTGATGACTGGTAATTATCTTGCAAAACTGCTTCTCACCTGATGTATGAGCTGTGCCTAAAGACTATTAGATAAGCTAAACCTTTGACTTTATCCTGGTGTTAGTCTAAAGACATTGGAAAACTTGCACAGTATTTGAATTTTCTCAAATTTACCTATACTCCCAGCTCTGGTTCTACAGAGTTTCCCGTTTATGAGCAGTCATATATGGGGCTTTTTGTGGGTTTTTGTTTATTTGGTTGGTTAGGTTTTTTTTACATTTCTATGCATCTTTGTGTTACAGGTTTACAATGCTGGACCAAGCACTCTCCCTGGAGCTTTTCTTGACATTTCATTTCCAAACCGCCTCTCAGCCACTGGAGCTGAAATATTTCACGTTCAGCAGATGATGGTGAGTACATTATGATGAGTTCTGAGCCCAGAGAGGCACTGAGAGCTATTGATGATTGAAACAAAAAAAGTTCATCAGAACTAGATGATCAGTTGCTTTTTTAGATTAGAAAAGGTTCTTTGTATTTGTGGCCAAATCATCATAAGCAGCTGAGCAGTCAACCAGCTGTTGACTGCTGTCCTTCACCTAGGGCAAGCAGCTGGTTGTGTGTTCCTCATTCTTACAATGCAGTGTAAAAGTAGGTCAGGCTAATCCTGAAAGAAATGTGGAGAACACTTCCTTGAGTCACATCTCCAAAGAGGATTCAGTCTTCACCAGGGTCCTCCCTGATTAAATGGTTTATGTAATATCAGCAGGATGTGTTACCAAGCTGACTTACGTTCCCTGTTTTTTTTGTTTTTTTTTTTTTCTGTGGTTATCTGTAAAAATGCTTTTTTTTTTTTTCCTGTGGTTATCTGTAAAAATGGTAGCTAGGTCTGAATACAGTATCAATATCTATTTTCCATAGTCCATGTTATAATTTGCTCTTTTTGAGTGCTCTTTTAACAAATTTAAGTAACAGAGACATTTATTCTTTCAACACAGTGTTTTTCAAAAGGTGATTTTGTGTCAACTACGAAGAAAATGAAAATAAATTGTGGTAAAGGAGACACATTCTTAGATTTCATTTCTAATATTTATTTATTACTTTCAAAGCTTTTGTTAAACCACTGAAATACCATCATTTATACTGTGGTGAGCAAGAGAAGGAAACCTCACTACAGAGGTAAATTTATTGCTGAAATTCAGAGTAATCTGTCCTTGTGAGATGTAACCAGCTCTTTGGGCTACTTGAAAAGAAGTATTTTACTTACTTCGTTGATAGCTACTTTTCTAGTCTTTTGGCTCAAGAGTGTTACCATCCCTCATACACAGGTAACTGTGTCACTGAATCTATGTAAATATAGATCCAATAAGACCTTTCTAAGCAGGTTTCCAAGATTTGTGCCGTTGAAATGTGTAAGATAAATATGTATGTGACTTACAGATAGGTACTATAGACAGAAATCACTGAGAAACAGATTTGGGATATCGTATGTGACACAGGTATTGTATAGACTATATAGCCGGGAGAGAGGAATAGAAAACTCAGCCCATCTAACTTAGGGTGTGATGAATTCTTTCTAGGCATTGCTTGTTTCTCTGTGTTGACTCTTCCAGAAGTCTGGGCAAATTGTCTTAGACAAGACACCTGTTTTGCACGCTTGAATTAGTTGAGGTGTACTCTACCCACCATGTGGACAAGGGCTAATTTCCAGACGTAGTTTGTCATCATTTCTATGCAAGACCCTAAGTTACACTGACAAGGATGGGGATGGACTATATGGTTTTGTATAGCTGTTTGAAAACCAAGACAAAATCTTAAATCTTGCCCTTAACTTGTTTTTCATTGCTGCTGTACCTCTGATGCCTTATGTAAAGGAGGTCCAGTTGGGTGGTGTGGTGTTAGACGCTGTGCTAATAAATACTTGCAGGGTTTGTATCCCCTTTCCCCAACAACAGGTTGCATTTCCCCCCAAGTCATTTGATGTCTTTCTTTTACTTTGCAGTTTCTCTTTGTAGAAATTTCAGACTGCTGTTGTGAGACCTATTTGCATTGCAGGCTGAAGAGTGGTAGTAGGGAAGTATGGTTTCATGAGAGATGTCTGCATGATATGCTGGTGTACCCTGGGTCATGTCAACCACTGATTTCGGGTATATGATCAGTAGGAGTCTAATACATGACTTTTGGGGCACCGATGATGTGTTAGTAAATGTTATCCAAGCAAATCCTGTCTGGGATAGTGGTTATCCCTGCTTTACAGATAAATAATTGAAACACCAAATGGTTTGCCTGAGGTCACACAGGAAATTTGTGTTAGAGCCAGTCACTGAACCCAAGTCTCCCAAGTCTTACTATGGTAACAGGAAAAGCATCCTGCTCTCTTTCCTCCTACTTCTCTCCCACTGAGTTTTTATTGACTGAAAAGGGAACTAAAATCATGGAGCTTTTCATCTTTTTGCAGACCAAATACACTTAAACAAACAAACAAACAAACCCTAAAAGCAGCAGATTGGAATGAACTTTGGAAAATGGGTTAGAACAGCTGTTTTTCAAGAGCATTTTTGTAAGCATAGTCATTAAATATTTCAGGCTTTTGCCTATTTTGAACTTCCCAGAATCTAGACTGCAGTGAAGGTGATAGTATCCTTTCAGAGAGTGAAGGTGTTATCTGTAATTATACCTTTATATCTATAATCCATCCATTCTAGGTGTCAGCATTCCCGGACCTTTCAGAATAGCTGTCATTCATACAGAGGATTAGGGATTGTCATTTATCTGTAATGAAACTGTTGATACAGCAGGGTTTGATTACATCATGGTTTGGGATTTTTTAAAGCTAATAATTCTTTTGCCGCTTCTCTGATATACAATACAGTAGTGCAATTTATGAGTGAAAATACATAGAAAAGCATTAGAGTCTGCATCTCAAATACACGTGTAACACAGGATCGTGCCAGGAGCTAATTCTTTCATATTGTGTTGACTGATTTAGTCTTTCAGGCACAAAAAATAATAAAAGGAAGAGAGTCACATATGGCCCACTGGAACGGTCTGTATCTCTGGAAGGTGTTAATAGGAATTATTATCTTGCTGCTCTTAGAGGAAATGACAGCCCTCATGCTTCCTCTGTTCCTGTTGCTCTAAGCTTTTGGCTTTATTGCAGAAACTGCTTTAAGATTTTCTTCCAGAGAAATTCAGGTCACAGAGATGTTTTGACACTTGGAGTTCTGCCTTAGAGATGTTCAGATGCTCTTCAAGGGGTTTTGGGAGTTTCTGCAGCACTTCCCGCAACAAAACCCCTAATATATAAAGGAAACAAGTCAACAGCAAAAGCTAGAAGTAAAAGAAAATGGATAAATGAAAGAAAATTAGAAAAAAAAAACCCAACCAAACAAGTGAACTTCCTCCCTATCAGAAACTTCAAAACAAAAGGAAATGTTAGAAATTTTACAAGTCATTTTAACTAGGATATCTCACCATTGACATTGATTTTACATAGTAAATGCTCAGATTCTGCAATGATAAATGATATTTTGGAAGCAGTTAAGACAGATTAGTACTTGTTTGGTTTTGTGTTTTGTATTTGCTTTCTTGCAGAGGATTCAAGCCAGTTTAAGAACATAAGAAAGCAAATACCTTAGCTTGTTCGTAGGTGTTGTGATAGGAACAGTATAGGTGATGACACAGAAGAGCTTCACCCAAATAGAGTACAATAGAGTAAGTGTTAACAGAAATGTATATTTTCCACTCTTCAAGCCATTGATTATCTATTCTTCCACAAAGGAAAACAGTGCTCATTATACTTGTGTGTGTTTTGGTTTTGAACTGGAAGATTAGTAATTTCCTTTGGGTATCCAGCTAATTTGGAGGCCAAGGGAAGCACTACTTGACTTGCCAGCCAAGGAGCTGCTTTCCGTGGCATCCAAAAAGATTTTCACAATGGGAGTTCCTACCAAATTAACCAGGGTATTTCCTGAAGCTGTTGATAAATTAGCAATGTGTCCGGGATTACTCTGATGCTGGCTTTATGGAAGCTGGATCAGATTTTTGCCTTCCTATTTATTTTATTTCCAGTGAAGGTAAACACAATTACGAGGAACGAGGGACTAACAGTTGGAAAACCAAGTTTGTTTGAACTGGAAGCCAATTGAAGTGCAAGCAGATGATCCTCACCCCTCAGCTGGAGGGACGAGCTCTGCAGGGCTGCCAAATTGTTTAGACTCCAGTCAGACAATTGTCACCAGAATCAAAGACTCACGGTGTTAACCCAGAGCAACTGCCATGTGCACTTGTGGGTTTTTTTGAAGAATCTGTTGCTTTTGGTGTTGCATATATCGTGCAGGCCAGCAAGCATTGATTGTTTTATTTATTTATTTTTTATTTTTATTTATTTGTTTAGGTGAGTCAGTACTGAGGATATAAAGAACTGTGGTGTTATCATTGCTGAGATAAGAATCTTGTTGGAAAGTGAGATGCACACATTGCAAGACAGTTTCTTCAAAGGATTTGCAGGCTAGGCAATGAAATAAAGGGGAATTTGGAGGAAGGAGGGAGAAGGATTTGTACTCAATTTTCTGATGAGAAACTCCCTCACTGCATGTAACTTTTGATATCTAAGTGTAGTTATCACTGTTTTAGTAATTGTGAGTAATAGAATATTTTTAAATTACTATGTTGCCTTACTCTAGTAATTAATGGAGAGAGAAACAACCCTGGTGAAACACTTGTTGGTCTCCACTGAGAATGCAAAAGCCATCTAGTCTCCCTGCATTTCCCTAGATGTCTCTTAGACTTTGAGAATTATCTCCAGAGAACAAAACAGGGGTTAATGCTCAGTCTCTTGAATGCTGCTCCCATTAACCTTGAGTCTGCCAATTATTTCAAGCCCCTAGTTCCCGGTCCGGAATTCCTATCAATTTTTGCTTTGGGAGCAAATTAAAAAGTCCTTCTGTTGGAAGGACAAACAGAAGTCCTCCAGTTGTCCTACTATGCTTGGCATATTTATTTCACGCTTCTCCTTTCTTCTGTCTGACTGGGTGATATCTGAATTGTGTCTTTATGAAAGCTGGGTATCAGTAAGATTTAAAAAATAAAGAAAAGCTGAATTGAAAATGAACTAACAGCATGGAGGAGTTGAAGAGAATTCCTTTTCCATGCTGCCTTTTAAGTTAATGGCTGCCTGAGCATGGGACTGTAGAAAAGCTTGTCATATTCAGTAAGGAAAACCGTTGAAATAAACATTATTCTTGTCCTGTGAAAGTTGAAACAGAAAAAGTAAAATGGAGTCAGTCCCAGAGCCACAAGTCTTTCCTGGCTGATGACAGGTTACGTTTTTAAGGCCAGTTTTGTGTAGCACTCATGTCATTTTTCTTCCTGGTGTTTGCACAGTAATGTCTGTAAGGAGCAGGAAGATGTT